CCACGCGCGCCCTCGCGCGCCCACACGTGCCCGCACGCTCCCACACGCGCCCGCACGCGCCCACACGCGCCCAGACACGGCCACACGCGCCCGCACGCGCCCACACGCGCCCACACGCGCCCACACGCGCCCGCACGCGCCGCGTAAAGACTAGCGTAAACACACAGGCATGGACAGGCGGGACATACGCCGACGGAGAGTCTTGTACAGGCGCTTTGAAACACACACACGCGGTCAAGCACATAAGTACGTAAGCTCAGGCATAGAGACGCAGACTTACACACAAACACAGACAAACGCACAAACGCACAATATGCAAGAACCTAGGTAGACACAGACATGCGAAATAGACACAGAAAGCACAGAAACATTCTGAAAAGAAATGCACAAGCAGAAGCAAGCAAGCACGCACGCACGCACGCAAGCACGCAAGCAAGCGAGCAAGCAAGCAAGCAAGCAAGCAAGCAAGCAAGCAACACACGCACCCGCACACGCGCACGCACACGCGCACGCGCACGCGCGCGCGCATGCACACGCGCACGCACACGCACACGCACACACATACGCAAGCACGCTGCCCACGAATATGCAAGAACCTAGGTAGACACAGACATGCGAAATAGACACAGAAAGCACAGAAACATTCTGAAAAGAAATGCACAAGCAGAAGCAAGCAAGCACGCACGCACGCACGCAAGCACGCAAGCAAGCGAGCAAGCAAGCAAGCAAGCAAGCAAGCAAGCAAGCAACACACGCACACGCACACGCGCACGCACACGCGCACGCGCACGCGCGCGCGCATGCACACGCGCACGCACACGCACACGCACACACATACACACACACACATACACACGCATACACACACAAACATACACATATCCACACGCACACACGCACATAAACACAAACACAATCACACACTCACAATCACACACTCACATTCACACACTCACACACTCACACTCTCACACTCTCACACTCACACTCTCACACTCTCACACACACACACACACACACACACACACACGCACGCACGCACGCACGCGCGCACGCACGCACGCCAGCACGCTTGCACGCACGCACGCACGCACACGCACCCCCACACGCACACGCACACGCACACGCACGCACCCGCACGCGCACGCGCACGCGCACGCGCACGCGCACGCGCACGCACACGCACACGCACACGCACACGCACACGCACACGTACACACGCGCACGCACGCACACGCACACGCACACATGCGCACACGCGCACGCGCACACGCGCGCACGCGCACACGCGCACACGCACACCCACACGCGCACACGCGCGCACGCACACGCACACGCACACGCACACGCACACGCACACGCACACGCCCACACACACACACATATCCACACGCACGCGCGCACATAAACACAAACACATGAGAACATGGACCTCAAAACAAACGGCATACAAACAAACAAGCTCGCATACAAAGCACGCTAACGCGCAGTTTCACAAACGCATAAATGGGCAATTCACACGCACACGCACCCAAATGCGGAGACCTGGAGAAGCCAATTTTCGATGGCCCCGAGACATCCCATCAAGTAAGCCTTTGTGGGTTGGGGATTGAGCCGCTCTTGTAGAGGTTAAAATGGGGTTTCACAACCAGCTCCAAAACAGCAATCTAAAGCATCAGTTGGGAAGCTGGTCCAAGGATCAAGCTGACTGGGGGGCGTAGCAGCCTGTCGCTGCCCTGCGCCGCGGATAAGTTTTGGGACGTGGATGAGCGGGGGTTTTTGCCCGCGCAGGAGCCAAGCGGGATGGGCCAAAGCGGCGGTTCTTCAAACAGGGCAAAGGGAAACCGCTCATTTGGGGAGCCCCGAATTTTGCGACAAAGCGACCCAGATATTCCACCCAGATATGAGCGGGGAACCTCCCAAAATGGCAGGTTTTCCTCCTGGTTTCCGTTTGAAACACACCAAAAACGGCATGACACGCTCATAGCCGGATGCCCAGGACCCGGTCAAGGAGCTCCCGCGGCCCTGGCAGCAGCTGGTGGAACTGGTGGACATTATGCCGGCGTATTCTATCCAAGGAAAACCAAACCCGCACAAAAAGAACGCCCTTATATGTTTGTGTGTGCTTCGCGTGGTTTATTGTTGCGGTTTGTTTTTCCTTTCGAGTTTGGGGCTCAATTTGGTTTGTACGATGACCTTGCGCTTTCCCAACCAAAACACCGTTCAACCAAGGGATTGCTCCCCCATTGCGCGCGCCTTCGCACATGTATGGTGATCTCGTTTGAGGCGCAGGTTACCCAATTGGCGCCGCTGCCCTTTTTTCAAGAGGTCAGGACCCAAGAAGGGCCTTTCCATTTTGCCATTTGTTTGGGTCTTGAAGGCGTTCTTGCGGCCAACCCTCCTCCGAGTTTGAGTCGTCCGCCTTGCCGTCTTCGCTCACGAGGACAGTTTCAGCAGCTGGCAGATTCCCAACTGCGAGGGCAGCTTTTTGAAAGCACTGAGCAGGCGCAGGGCTCCCTCAAAGATGTTGACAAAGGAGCCACGGTTTTGCGGGTAAGGTTCAGGAAATAGGAACCCCTCGGTTGTCCACTTTATGTACACCCTGTAAAGGGGGCACCAAACACAAGGCTGTTTAAACGAGAGGTTCAAGTTTTTCAAGCAGAGGTGAAAGCGGGGCTGGAGAGCCTGTTGCAAGCGGAGTTGGAATGCCTGCACTCGGTGCTGGGGTATATCTGCCTGGGGTACATGCACGACCCCCCGAGTCTGTACGAGTCCGCATCCGAGGAGGTGGGAGGTGGGAGGGGGCGGGAGGAGGAAGGATGGGACGACGACAAATTTGCTCGGCGCGTGGATATCCGGCAAACTATAGACAGAGACACACACCATATAGACCTGCCACAATGGCCTTGAGCAGTCAATCTTCAATCTGCATTCGGGTTCGTGGCTATCAGGATGCATTTTGTACCTGTTGGGTGGTCTTTGGAAAAAAAACCCGGCAGAAAGAGTTACTACGTCGTTGGGCCAACACTGGCGTGGTCATGTCAACCTAGCGCCATCTTTTCACTCAGAAGGCTCCACGGCACCTCTTTACTGCCGTTGATGACGTGCACATCGGCAATGGAAGTGTCCCGGTTGACGTCTCACACAAGGAGAAAGACACTTCCGGCCATGATGAGGTTCAAGTCTTTCTGAAGAAAGGGAGGTTCGACGCTATGATCGCTGACAAGAAGACTACTCTTTGTCTATCCATTTTGTTTTACCTGCCTATTGACCTATTCATTTTTTCCATCTACCTATGCACCCATGCACCTACTTGTCACCCACTTTTCTACCTACTGGGTGCTTGTGCTGGGTCGCCCGGGCTTGTGTGAAGTCGCCCGGATAAGGTGTCCCCATGCAGATTTGCGTTCAGACACATGTTCAAGTAGTTATTGGAACAACGTATGTCATGATGTTTCCGTTAGTGTCCCCTTGTGTTGTGCTGAAACAGTGCAGATGTTCTTTCATGGACGGCCAGCTTTCACGCTTGGAACTCTGTCCAAACAGGCCCTGAACGAAGCATAAAAGAAAGGAACGATTGCAATCTGTGTGGCGCAGCGTCGAAGAAGCGCTTGGAAACAAAATCCGGCAATCAACCACGCTTGTTCTCCTGATTTGTGTGTTTGGCTGCTTGAGACATGTGGCCAGCATATGTTGGGCGCACCCAACAGGCGTGTCACCGCGGCGCAGTGCATATGTGATGAACATTTGCTACATATTTGCTCAAGCTTTGGAGCCATGCAGGCCGAGCAAGCGCAAGTAGTTGCCTACTGGCAGTGAAGACACCCCTCAACACAAAGGCGGGTAGCCACTTTTCTGCGGGCAAGTCTCAAGGAGGCTAGTTTGTCCTTGCGCTCCCGGCCACAAAACTCATGAAATATTGGCCCACCCCCCGTTCCCTGGTCCGCCCTCTCTTCGGTCCGCTTTTCGCACCGGTTTTCTCTTGTGTTTCAAGGCCGGTTCCACCAGTCAAATCGCAGCGCATTCCGAAGTTGATACGGGACACTGAGTGCACGTCTGCTTCATGGCGGGCTACGCGCAAGCAATTTTACGGTGCTGGGGGTACCTCAGTTTTAGCATTTGGGGGCTTTCCATTGTTTAGGGGAATCACTATACGGTCAAGTTCTTTGTAGTAGTCTCACAGTTTGAGAGCGGTTGGGATGTGAACGAGGAAACCTATAGCTCGCAGGCAATTTTCATGGCGCGCGGATCACTTTTTCACCCGAGTTTTCTGTCGCTTTTGCACCCACGGGTCGTGTATGTCGAAGCGCCTGTGCTATGGCGCCGTGCGAATGTGTCTCGAGGGCAGGCAGTAGTGGGAGGGATGCAAATAGGTGTCCTCATGCTGATTCCCTTCCCCGGGCGCTGCTTTTGAGTTGTTTTCAAGAAGGAATGAAAACGGTGCCCCCATGCTGATTTCCTTCCCCGGGCACTGCTTTTGAATTGTTTCAACAAGGCATGAAAATGGTGTCCCCATGCTGGTTCTTTCTTTTGTGAACTGTTGAACAAGCTACCAACAGGCTTCTCGCCGTGGTGTCCGCGTGCTTTCTTTGGACGAAGACTCCTCGGTCTGGCTCGCCTGAACTTGGTGTCACAGTGGGATTCTGCCTTTTATGGGTGACTTTACGCGATCTGGGTGACTTTGCGCTAATGTGGTGCCCATGCGCGTGGCTGACTTTACGCGGGCGTGGGTGACTTAACGCGGGCGCCAAGTAGCTGTTTATAAATCAGTCTATCTATCTATCAATATGTCTATCTATGGATCTATGACTTATTTGTCTGCCTGTCTGCTACATCCATCCAGCCAACTTGCTGCTCTATTCGTCTGAACAGCTAGCTCTCCATCAATCCTGATATCTATTTACCCATCCATCGATCTAGCTGTGCAGCTTTCAGCTATCATTTGTCTAGCTATCCGTATATTTTCTTGCGTAGCCGAATTGTTCAGCTATCTATTTTCCTTCGCAGCTATCTAACTCTCCATTTGTCCATGAATCGCGCCTATCTATCCATCTTTCTTTGTGCCAACTGATATGCTTGTCAAAGTTTCTCTCCTCTTATTTGTGTATCGACTTGTCCACAAATGCATCTATCCATACCTCTATGTGCCTATGTGCCATATATTTGCCTTTCTATCTTTCGGCCTAAGCAGCGGCGTCCCAGAAAACGTTCCCAAAGTGCGTGGGACTGCGCGACCCTGCAAAGTACTACGCCGTGGAACCTGTACGCTGTGCTTCAAACCGCAGCGCCTGACACGCAATTCATTGCGCTGCGCTTGCCACGAACATCAACTCTCGTGCAAGTCGTGGCATGCTGACCCCAGACCGCTTTCGGGAAAAGCAAAGGCAAGAGCTTCCCAAGTGGAGCTGCATTGTCTCAGAAAAAAACACGCTGGTTAAAGCCGTGGGGATGGTCCCAGGCTGAGGATCTCATGGGGAAGCGCATCGTCCCCGACACTTTGCCCGCCTGGCTGGCAGTGCCCTGGGTTTGCGTCTCCGAGAAGTTGGAGCGGCGTCCGGCCCTTCGATTGAACCAGGGCTGCCATGTGTTTTGGTTTGCTTTGATTTACTTGCCTTTTGTTTGCTTGCGTCCTTTTGGTTTGTTTGTTTGCTAGCTTGTTTTGCTTGTTTTCTTTAATTTGCTTGGTTTTTGGTTGTTTGTTTGTTTGTGCTTGTTTCTTGTTTGTTTGTTTGTCTATTTGTTTTTTTTTGTTTGTTTGTTTGTTTGTTTGCTTACTCGCTTGCTTGTTTGTCCGTTTGTTTGGTTTGGGTTGGTTTGCGTGTGTGTGTGTTTGTCTGTTTGTTTGTTTGTTTGTTTGTTTGTTTGTTTGTTTGTTTGTTTGTTTGTTTGTTTGTTTATTAGTTAGTTAGTTTAGTTTAGTTAGTTAGTTAGTTAGTTTGTTTGTTCGTTTGTTTGCTTACTCGCTTGCTTGTTTGTCCGTTTGTTTGAATTGGTTTGGGTTGGTTTGTGTGTGTTTGTCTTTTTGTTTGTTTGTTTGTTTGTGCCAAAATGGATGCACTTTTTTCCCCCTTCATGCATGGTTCAGTACTCAGTACTTGCATGGATTGCCAACTTTGGTTGGCTCAAGTCGCGAGAGTGAAAGGATCGCTGCTGACTTTCAGAGTCTCTTTAGGGTGATCTGTTAGTTTAGGTACTTCGGTGCCTGAGATTTTTCATGGTAGCGGAGCTCTGGCAGCGTTTGGAGGACAACTTAGGTTGCCGATGCCTTCCACTTTCTCTGGTTCGCCAGCAGATTGGGAAGAGTGGAGTTGGAAGTTCAAAGCATATGTTTCTATGTATGAGACTTCTGCGCTTCAAGGACTTGATAGTGCAGAGACCAGAGAGACGCCAATCACTGATGAAGACTTGGTCACGACTTTGGACACTGGAGACCGTGACGAGGGAGCCACAAGGAAGACTTTGAGCGATAGCCGCAAAACTGCACCATTTGCTTGCCAACTTGACGACAGACACTGCGAGACTTTTTGTGAGGCAGAATGCAGGCAGCAATGGCTTTGAGACCTGGAGGAGACTTTTTAGGAAGTTTGCACACCCGGATGCCACAAAACATGTGTCACTTTTGACACAGCTGCTTGACTTCAAGTTTAATCCCGCAACTTTTGAACATGACTTTAAAACACTTGGGAGACAATTAAGGTCAAGTACGAGCGACAGTAGCAACAACGGCCCTGCACCAATGGACATTGGAGCACTTTGGAGAAAAGGCAAGGGCAAAGGCGACCCACTTTGGAACAAAAGCAAAGGCAAAGGTAAAGGCAAAGGACTTCCAGGCAAAGGCAAAGGCATGGGACTCCACTGGACTGGGACTTTCAAGCAAAAGCAAAAGGCAAAGCAGGCAAAGGAAAGGACTTTGGAAAGAACAAAGGAAAAGGAAACGGCAAAGGCAAGAACTTAGGTTCCCAACTTTGCCGGATTGTCGTAGGCCAGGTACTTGTCCAATAGGAAGAGTAAACGCACTTGGGAATTGAGGCACTTCAGGATTTGTCCTGGACCGCAGGAATCGGTGAACTTTGGGTACACCGGCGACTTCGAGTACGAGGACCCTTGGGACACTTGGTGCTCTTGGGATGTGAGTGCACTTTGGAATGATGAAGAGACTTTGTGGAACGAAGATTGGAGTTGGAGTGATGCGACTTGGCATGATTGCATTTGGGATTGGTCACATTCCCAACAGACTTTGGTCGAGCCAACTGTGAGCAGCCAAGCTGGGAACTTGACCAGTGCGACTTCTTCGGAACCTAGAGCTTCGGCTCTTGGTCCACTTGACACTGGCAGAGTTGCGGCGGTGATTTCTGAGCCGCCTGGACTTTTGAGACCTTCGCCAAAGGCCAAAGCACCTTCAGGCACTTCACTGGCATCTAACTTGTTGATGTCAGCAGTGGTGTTTGGCAGTTTTGGCTTAGGCACTTCTCTGCACACTGAGAGACTTGGAGGAGAAGACATGATGACTGGTGTTGTTGACTTTACTTGTGGTTGTTTGAAGTCGCCTTGGTTGACTTGGAATAGGTCTGGCTTGGATACCACTTGTTTGGATGACTTGCCGGTTGACTTGCCAGTTGCACCTCTTGAGACTTTCAGACTTGATGCACTTGAATCTTCTCGGCATGTCACTTTCAGCTGCGTTGAAGACTTGAATCTTAAAGTGAACACAGAGCTTCACGATGTTTACTTGCAAGAGCAAGTTGCAGCAGTGTGGCAGCAAGACGAGCCCTGGATACTTTTTGATTCAGGAGCCGCTGCGCGTTGCTTTCCCAAAGGCTTTGCTCCAGATTGGCCCCTCTTGCCACTTTCTGGAAAAGCTCCACCACTTAAGTCAATCTCTGGACAGCCACTGTTGATATACGGTCGCCGTAATACAAGCTTGAGGCAACAGGAGCTAGCAGCTCCTAAAAGATATTGCTTGCGCTAGAATACAATTGTATGAACTGTTGTTTCTGCAGAAGACCGTTTATGTTGAGTTGAAACACAGCGAGGTATCCAAGGTATCTGGGCAACCATGGATGTGGAAATTTCATGAAGGACAGTCATACCTTTTTGTGG